GATCCTCACTTTATCAACAGAAACTTCCAAATAAACCACAGAAGAAATATTTCTTGAGCCATCACAGCCACTACGAGTGTCAGCCTGGACGTGTACATACAACGGATTACACGATTGTTGGGAATTAAATGACAAGTTTGCCAAACTATACATGGTGTGTACAGCGTCTACAGAAAGCTTCAAGAACTTTGAAAACCCTAGAACCTAATGAAAAGTTCAAGATGAACCTTAATTAATTTGTACTGCATTTGAAAAATGAAATATATGCTTTTCAATATAGTGACCAGGTATTGTTTTAGTCGACCGTACAAATTGATCTAAAACCCTTAAAATTCGCGTTATCAAATTAAATTGAACTAAGCCGACAATTAATTTCAGCCTGAGAGTGCGCTGCTGTCCGTAATTTGATTTGAGACATTTAACTACATTACTTTTTAACCAAGCCAATCTAGGAAAACATGTTGGAACTGCAACGTCATCACCATAGTATCGAAAACTCATTAGAAAATAATGTAATTTGTACTGTGCTCTCTGAATGTGTTGTATTCGTCTCAGCAAATAAAATTTAGTTATTCCAATGAAAACTTCACATTTGTTTTCTAATTTACAATTCAAAACCAGCAACGTAAGTATTGGAATCTATTATTTTGTAATACAATAAGTGTATCACATCTCCTTGATTTAATCAGAACATGTGTTTAAAACTAAAGACATTGTCGTCACGACGTTTAAGCCTGTTTTATGTAAAGAGGTGAATAAAAATGTGAAATAAGGAGGTGGATTTGGAATAAATTGAGAGGCATACACACCTACGCGGTACCATGATTACTGCACACTTGTGAACAAATATAGTAAAAGTAAAATATTCTTTACTGGTGAGGACCTAGTGCTCAAAAGACTACGTAGAGTATATGAGGGTTCTCCTATCGTGCCTACTTGCAAAACGTAATTTGTCACGTAAATATTACAAGTAGATTTTTCGTTCAATTTTTTCTTGTTTACGCCAATTGATTTTTTAATGCAATGAACTACGAAAAATAAGTGATAGGGAAAATTGGTTCAAACCACTCTCAAAGTATGTTGTGGCTTTACTCATATTTGACCATTATTGTAAATGTTGAAGCTTCTTTTACAAGTTCACAGAACACTAACCTTTACAGTCTGTCAAAGTGTTAACACCTAGATGTTTCACGGGAGTTTACTAAATTTCTTAGTGATTTAATTGATTGTTTGTACAAGTACCTATCTCAATGCTTTAATGTACTAAATCGTTCTAACCGAGAGCCTTGATTGGCTACATCTAGTAACTAGTTTTAGTTTAAGTTGAAAATATGGCAGGAAGATACGGAATATGACTAGACTCTACTAGATGAAGTAGGCCAGTTGCTAGTAAATGTTCGACAAATCTTATCCACCAGACAAAAAATCTAGATAAAATTAAGCCATTTATTGAAGAATTTAAACGCTTAGATAAGTCGCGGCAATAACGGAAAAATGATTTACCTCCTGATTTGTTTAGTTCGCGCTGAATATCTAGTGAGGGATGATATGGTGGCAAGGCGCAGGGCTTTAGTCCGCAAGGTCCCAGGTTCAAATCCTTCCAATAACCAATGGTCTTTTGCTATGTAATAAAGACCCTCTCGGCCTATTATGAAGTAAGGTAAAATTTTGCAAATATAGCATCCCAAAAGAATCTAAGTTGCCAAACAGCATCGCGGAAACTAAACACCTGAATGTGTTACAAACCTCAAATCTCAAGACAATTTTCTTATCTGGCCCTGAAAAATCAACGACTATCCTACTCGATCAGGTATCACTTTGCCGATCCCAAAATCCCTCCTAATTCCGCTCAGTAAAACACGCTATGTATAATTTGTGGTATCTGATATCAAACATATCAAATTACTGTTGTGTGGTTGTGTTATAAATAGTTTAATTTCCAAATTAAGAACAATTTCTGTCGTAGTAAACGCAGGGACGTGAAAAATGTGAATTACTTCTGTACAGGATTAATAAATCAAATTACGTTTCCTATTAATGTTTGTGGTGACTATTCATAAAAACGCTAATTTGTTATTTTAAACATTTGTGTAAGGCAAAAAAGTTTAAAACTAGCAATTGGCAAGATTAAATACAAAAATTAAAGGGGCATAAATAAACCATTGTTCAAATACAGTACTGTATTGTGCATGATCAAGTTACATCGCCAAAAGTAAAAGGAATTTTTTCCTCTACAATAATCATTGGCAACAATATTTCCTCCACAGACAATAATTAAACAAGAACAGGTCAATAGAGTGTTTTTCGTAATCAGGTCATGGTACGACTAACCCTATTCGACTTTGAGTGCCTTTGAAAAGGTGGGCGAGGGCCGCTGGTTGCCGGGCGACCGTTTATTTTGGGCGGGTATTGATCGTGTAGTTCCCGCCAAATCCGCAGCGCCGCTATACAGGAGCAATGACCCCGCGTGCCCCGCGCTCACGTCAGTCCACTTTTTTGGGGAAAAATTGTAATTGAGTTAGTAAACTAACAAAGGATTTGTTTGGTTAAAAATAAAAATTTCGATAAAAAGATGAGAAAATTCCTAAATATTGCACGTTTCTGGTGTTTCGTGCACACAAGAATTAAAAAAATCTTTGTATTATAATAAAATGTATAAACCTATTTTTATAAAAAAAACGCATTAATTAATTTTTATTACTTACGTTCATGTGATTGAGGACGTATAATTATTAACAGTTCCGTTAAACAAAGTTGATCGTGTAACGTTAATGGCTGCGTTGACATGTGCAGTCTCCTTTTAAAATCCTTTATGACGATTTAAATTATTTATTCGTTCAAAATTAACAGTTTAAATTTGTTAAATTTCTTAGCTAATAAAATAACTCAAGATCTTTTTTTAACGTAAACAAAACTTAACCATATTACATTTTCAATTATTAATTGGTAACTAGTGTACCTGTTGCTCGAATTCGAACAACTGCAAAGTATTACAGGCGCTATTTAAAAATGGATAACAGTCATAATTTCCTACAACTTAAAATAGTCAACTCAAAGATAGGTAATGTAATAAATCACTCCACTCCTCCACTACAGTTATCGAAACTGAAAACGAACTCACTCTGAAAACGAACGCCGTTGGGTGTGTCATGTGTTTATTATGAACAGCTGTAATTAATACAAATTATTCGTCTCTTTAACCAAAGATTACATAATCTTTGCTTTAACTAATATAAACAAAATCGGTTCTTTCATTGGGATTTTGATGGCCTGTGGGTAAAGCCAGAGGACTTTTATTACAGCAATTAGTGAAAACGGCGTCTACACAAAAAATACTTCTTTTTTACAATTCGTTTGTAAAAATCCGTCTATTATTAACGGAGGAGTAATGTTTCGTAGAATAATAACCCACACGTATTATAAGGATAGCAAGTATTTGTCCAAATAAAACATGTGCCTAAAAACCGTAGGCCCCTATATAAAATAAAAATCTACTTATAACATAAACATTGTGTCTACAAATTTGTAAAAAGTGTGATTGAAACTTTTTGTCGTACGAATTACATAACGTAGAATCGAATGTATTTTATGATAATCTAACAACACAGAACGGAATATCAGTGTTTCGTGTTATTGTGGAATGCCAATAAAAGACAAACACAATTTGTTTATTTACTGTTGCGCCTGCAACATTGTGATAACAGCCTCCACGCACTGCTGTTGTGATATTGCATTCAACAATTGTAGGTGCATCACAAAGTTTAATAATTTCATATTTGGTACGTATGAACGTATGGTACAGCTACTGTAGATATAAACAGAAAAATAAATTGTCTTGAACTCGAGATAAAAAAACACATTAAATAATGTATTTTGTGGCGTGATTGTGTAACTTACTTCGGATTGTACATTTAAAAATCTGATAATACTTTGAAGTGAGATTTACAGTTATACTATAGACAAGAACAAACCTCGTTTTAGACCAGATCAAAGGAAAATCTCAAGAGTAACACCATAGATAAAACATACTCCCTTAGTAGATTTCTCATCCTTATGGATCAGCATAGACAATTTTATTGTTAGTTCTGTCCGGTGTACGTAGGGGTCGTGTTTTGTTTACAATTTGTTCCTGTTATTTCAGTATCTAAAACCTCGTTTAACCAAATAAAACGATCTAATCATAAACAATAACTCTTCCCCCAGTTATATAACCAAACAGTAAACCACAAATCATTAAATTAACTTTAAAATAATATAAACAAAATTTAGTCGACACGAATGATCAGTGTTACCAGACATGAACTAGATACTAAAACGAGCTTCAAATTTTATTATGGGATGAGAAGACTGCTTGTGGTGGTTATTATAAGCCCAAGCTCAATACCAAAAAAGTCAAAGGAACAAAGCCAAACAAAACCTACAGAAAGCACAAACTACACTATAGGGCCAAACCCATAGTGTAGTTTGTGCTTTCTGTAGGTCGTTACTGTAAGTTATGTAGGTTACTTTACTGACCAGATTTGACCTTTTGTAAAATGGTGTTCTTACAAAGAAAAGAGAACTCTAACGCTACAAACCATAGAGTTTAGCTAGAAACATATTATAATCAATGATCATTGAACCCTTACATCAACGTGAACAATTAAGGCTTCATGGTTGCAAAACTAACGGCGTTATATGCAGAAAAATTAGAGAAAAGAACACCATCTCATCGGTTCAGCTGTTCACGTTACCGACCGATTAGCTGTCACTTCACTAGCCAACCGACCCCATCATCTAAACAAATGATGTTTATTTAAGATAAAATTGTGAATACTGTAGTTCAAAATTAAATGTTTGAAATGACTAAATTTGCTACATTGTTTGTCCTTCAGTGTTATCGTTCGTCACTTATAAGGCCATATAATCAGTGCCTCCGGAGTTTGCACCAAGGTTAGTTACTTTGAGGTTAGAAGACATACAATCCTCTAGTTGAAAATTAAATTAGTTGATTAGGCTTTATTACTTTGCAGTGTCAATGAAAAATCTGAAGGAAGAGGTTATCGCCCCAGCTTCTTATCAGCTTTTTTGGAGCTGAGGAGTTGGGTTGATAACGTCTTGATTGTTCTTTTTCGTGTTCTCTGTGGTCACAGAATGATGTTGGAAGTAGTTCTGGTGATCAGCCCAATTTTTACTCTGTTTATTTCCTTCTATTCAAGAAGGATCCCAAACCTTTGTTGGAGTAAAGGTAAATAATCAAATCTTACTCTTTTTTTGAGTTTTTTCTTCTTTTTCCCTAATTGTTTAAATTTTACTATTAGGCCCAAATGTACAAATTCCTTAGGCATAACTTTGCCATCCCTCAAACCTAAAACTCCTCGTTACTGGTAAGTTAGGCTAAGCGTTATAATCTTTTTGTAGAAGCCATAACTTATTTGCATTTTAATGCTGGCATTAACAGGATCATTTAATAGTTTATATCAATTTCATTTTTTTATATTTATGTTTCAATTACTGGTACTGATTTAAATTCTTTTAGGCTAAATATTATATTTAGTTTGCTACTTAAGTGAAATTGTTATGTCATTGTATGGGTTTAAGTTCATCTTTGGCTCTTTAAAATTTTGTTTGGTGACATCTCACTAGGCTAGATTTATTTTTAAATATGTACCCCAACTTAGGCCCTTTGTATAGGCCATGGCCCCCACTTTCGATTGTGGGCTCTGTAACCAGAATCGAGCTTGGGATCTCTTCCACTATGTTCGCGTAGTATGCTATGGTACCGTAATTGGCAATTTTTCCACCATTTACAATTTTTTCCAATGTAGGTAAGTAAGGAATAGGCCTACTTACTTAATTGAGACAATCAAATCAATAAAAAAACTGTATTTGCTAAAAAGCAAATCATCCACTTTTATTTTAACCTACTGAAAGTAAATTTCCATTTTGTGTTTGATTTCTTGTACTGACCAGGAATAAAATTCAGGTTATAAAAATAGTAAGATTATGACTAACTTGGGAGCTAAACAATTAACATGTTTTTGGCATGTTTAATACTCTGACTAGTGTATTTTATGTTCCTCAATATCGAGCAATTGCAAAGTACCTTATTTGTCAGGAGTAATTTAATAGCGAATAACAGTACCGTAATAATGCCCGATTAGTAAAAGAGTCAAGTCAAAGATTATGCAACTAATGGAAATACTCACAATGTACATAACAGTTCGATATAATGAACATTTTTTTAAATATTGTATTATTTTTCAAAAGTAAACGCGAAAAATACTGGTCGGATTGGGCTGAAATTTGGCATGATGATAGCTCACATTCCCGATTAACATATAGGCATATTCTTATTTCAAAAATCCTTTCGGGGTCCGCCCCAGTGGCTCTGGAGTTTCCCATCCCATGTTAACCTTATGCGAAATGAAATTATTGAATCTTAACAGCTGTTTCAATTAAACAAGTTGGTTCTGTTCTGTGATGTTCAATAGCATTAAAGTTACAAGGATTACCAACAGGGTGCAGCAATAGCACTATTATTTCTTTTACATTTATGACAACAGCTAATTTGCAACCAAAAGGTGAGTGAGCGTAGCGAACGAACTTCAACCTGGAGGCGAGTGAGCGTAGCGAACGAGCTAACCTGAAGGCAAGTGAGCGTAGCGAACGAGCTAACCTGAAGGAAAGTGAGCGCAGCGAACGAGCTCCAACCTAAAGGTGAGTGAGCGTAGCGAACGAACTTCAACCAGGACGTGATTGAGCCATGCAAACGAGATCATCTTGAAAATTAAGAAGTTAAACGGGGCAAAGCCCGCGGGTTACAGCTAGTAGATGATAATAAACCTTACTTTGATATGGTATGATATTGGTATGATGGTCTATAGCCGGGTTTACACGATGCCAGTTGGTGAGACAATTGTCAGAAGACAACTGGCTAGCATGAAATTATTAGCTTTGTGTAAATACTTTTTCTGAATAGTTATATATACAGCTCTTGCAGGCTAATTGCCTTGCCGACTGCCCTGATATTGAGTTGTCTCCGGGAGTAGGCTGAGGACAATGAGCTGGGCCCAGTGAGGCCCCCCACCCTTCGAAAACCCAGTTGTCGTGACAATTGGCGCTGTGTAAACAGTGTAGGCCAATGTTTATTTAATACAGTAGTAAACATAGTGAATACAGTACTGTACATTACAGTAGAAACAATTACGGTGCGAAAGTATACAATAAATAACTACTGTACTGTGTGGCTGTGTTCAATGAGGCGTTCGGATTAGTTCAGATTAAGGGGGTTCGGATAAAAGAGGTTCTACTGTAACTATATTTAGGCTAAGTATTTTAATTTTAATTCTATGATCTGTTGTAAAATATTCTTCAATACATAAACAAAAATTAAACATAACTAGACCCTGTGGCCAGTGTTGCACCAGCCCCACCCTTGTGGGGGCCATGATATAGGCCAAACAAGAACAATGCTCAATCTAATAAAATATCTTACCACTTATGTGTAAAATTTAACTAGTAAATCAAATTTGTTCAGTCACACCCCCATAAACCATATACTTAAAATGTTCGTCATGACGAGAAACCTTACGCAAAACTATCAATTATTTCATAAATTGCCCTTTAAGGTCGTAATTCCTTTCTAATGGGAACTTTCCATATAACTTACCTAATGTTAAAAATACCTCAGCTGTACTTATTTGTTTGTTATCCTTTCAATCTATTAATCAGGTGTGATTATTTGTTTGTATATAACTGTATTCTGTTTTGTTTATTTCAGCTTAACTTAACCAAACAAGTTTTATTAATACTTATGAAGTCACCGTGGTGAAGCCGTGGGTAACAGATAGTTTTAAATAAGTGCAGTAGGCAAATTAAAAAAATATTGTAAACTTAGGCTATTTCTTAAAATACAAGTTATTTCTTCTAAATTTATTTGTAAATATTTTGAAAAATATGGCATTTGAGATAGGCTAGATTCTTCAATTTAAAACAATTTAATAATAATTTTTTAATTTACTAACTGAATGATTCTTCCTCAGCTCTTAACAAAGCTACAAGTGATAACTTAATCTATTTTCTTTTTATCTTATATCAATTTATAAAATGATAAGTGTAGACATCAATGAGTGATAAGACTCTAAACAGTTTTAATTTTTAACCTGACCTGTTAGTTCCCATTGAAAATATTGTTGTAAGATTATAATTTTATAGGATCTTTAGTCAGTCTATGGGGAGTTTTAACTTCAGTCTTGATAACTTAGATGGGAGTTCAGTAAGCCTAAGTAGGAAATTACTAATTGCTCTTTATTTTGGTAAGTTTACATTCAGTTTTGTTCTATTTGTTTTAATATTCTAACATGGTTTGTTTCAAGTAGGATCCTAAGTGGCTAGAAATATTTATAATACGTTTAAACAAATCCAAGTAATTTTTAAGATTTAAGCTACCCAGAGTGAGATAAATAATTGTTAAGAACCATCGTAATAGTTTAGAATGTTTTTATTAATATTCTTTACCTACCATACATTTTCCTTGAAAAATTTAGCTTGAAAAATAATTGGTTTATTTCATATTAGTGATTGTGACCCCTGTCCCCCCCTACATTACCTGTGTATCCCCCTGTGTCCCTGTGATCCCTATATTACAGTTTCTTATTGTTACAATTAAAATTCTTAGTGATTAAAACATACACAGTCAGACTTGATTTTTCAACCTTTTTCAAGTTTTACTATGTTTATCGGTACCGTAGCTAAGTTATAGTACAATGTAGGGCATATTTTAAGTAGCCTATCACATGTTGCCGTCCGGGATACTAAAAAGTTCTAAATATACAGATAACAAGTTCGGTTTTTTCATTGCTCTACTTTTCCATAATTTGTAACGATGACAAATAAATAAATATGATAAATAAATATGATAAATAATGTTAAATCAGCTTCCGCTTAGTTTCTAAGTACTAGGACGTAAGGTGAACTAAGCGATTCCTTCTTTTGCCGCAGAACATGGGCAAAACACCAAGCTAGTCCACAGGAGATGGCGCAGATTTTGGCACAGTTGGGTCCCGATCTCCACCGGCGTCGGAGTCTCGGTGCTGGCTGTGCTACAATGGCGCAGACTACAGAGAGATAACGAGTACCCAGAACCTCTCGTCAAGGAATTTCAGGTGAGATGTGCCTCGTGTTTGTACCAAGGTTGATTTTCTCTTAGTTTATACCTGTAATCTCAAAGAGCTTGGAAAATGGACCTCTACTCTTCCATAATCTTAATCTGTCTCAAGTCTTTCCTTCTAATCTAACTCTTATTGTTTGTCATGTTAGCTTTTCCTTGTGCTTAATTTTTTAATGAAATTCAAACACATAAAATTGGAATCCAGTTCCACTCTTCTTTCAGCTGAAACAAAGCACCAATTAAAATCAAAACTTAGAAACAACTTAGCAGAACATTGTTTAAGTTCACCTTTGGACCTTAAAAGTCCTTTTGGGTGACATCTAACTAGGCTAGTATTATTTTAAGAAGGCCTTTTCTACATAGGCCAGACAAAATGTTTGAAACTGGTAAAAAATATCTCAGCTGTATGAAGGAACAATCATCGTCTGGTTCAAACCAGCAACCTTCAAATTTGAAAGTGAACACTGTAACCACTCAGCTACCCAGACAATAAAGGTGTTCATGGGACAGAGTTGTGAAATCTGTTAATATCCAAAGTTATCATCCACATTGTTTGTTTGGTCTTCTTGAAGGATCAGTAGTAGCCTACTTCTTTATTCTTGTTTCGTGTCCTTCACAATACTATTTTGCTACCTGAAAAGATAGAATCATGTTAGTCAGTTTCTGTTAACAAATAAATAAAAGTATTACACACAAGATAGACTATGAAATAGTAAGTAATAACCAACCTGTTACAGATTACCTGTTACCGATCTCTACCGTTGCGTCTGTGGTCTCGTACGTGGGGTTGGTTGTGTAACTGTCATGTTCCGCTGACGTTGCGCTCCTACGTTTACGGCCTCTACTCGTCCATGTACGGCGTTAATCTTGACGAGATGGCAGGAGATCTCTCAGACTATCCGAGCCTTGGACAGTTCTTCACCCGTCAACTGAAAGACGGAACAAGACCTATTGACCCTGTTGACTGCATTGTAAGTCTAATTCAATTTTTGCATTATTCATTTTAAAACTCCATCAGATCTGAAGTTAAAATGTGCATTTTTGATGTTTCAGAAATACTAGATTGTTGTTCAAACCTTTTAATAAAAAAAAAATAACAGCAGATATAGATTTAGTCATTGGGGTAAAAGCTTACTACAGGAGAGATACTCTGCGTAGCCCTCCTGCTTTTATAAAATAGTTAGGCCTAATACAAAAATATGTACTTTAGGTTTTTCTAGGGGATAGCAGGCTTACCTGAATGGGAAAGAGTCCTAACTGGCACCAGAAACACAAAACTTCACTATATACACAAACATTAGACCTACACTAAACACAAAATATTAAAATATTTCACTATCACCGACAGCATTTCAACTAAAGAAGCTATGTGTTTATGAGAAAGTTGATTTCTTTTGTTGAAATCCTAATAACCTGGGCCCTTGTGCTCTATGTTTCATTCTCAATATGTACAGTACTGTACTGGTACTTGATTTGATAGGCCTACAATGTTTTTTTCCAGCAAAAGGATTTTTCTGTAGGATTGAATGAGGTACAGCCGATAGATTTTGTGGGTTATTGTACATCATTAAATTAATGGGTTAATTTGCTTAATTGGGTTGTATACTTATACAATTTAAATAGAAACAAGTTGGAAAAAAATTAAAAAAGGAAGGGTTTTTGTGTGTGTGTGATGCACCTGTCAATCTACTTATTATTTCAGGGTTGAATTTAATAAATTATCGAATTGCCTGCAGTACTTAATTTCTGCACATTTATTTCTGAATTGCCAAACTTTACCGTGAATTAAGTTTCTAAAACTGTTGTGTTTTACATTTCCAGGTGTCTCCAGCTGACGGCAAAGTCCTCAACAGTGGCAGAATAACTTCTTGCCACGTAGAACAAGTGAAAGGAGTAACATACAACCTTCAAACTTTTCTCGGCCCACCTACCTGGAAGACTGCTAACTCAACACGAAGTATCAACCGCTCGAATACCAAATTCACAGAAGCGACCCATCTAGCGAGGACTGACGAGAACGACAATGAACTCGTCAAAAGTAAAATCAACGTTGATAATTATATTATTCCCGAAACGTTTTGGGGGGGAGTGGATGTGGTGAAGTATCTGTTCAAAGCCCAGCAAGAGCAAGAAGAATGTATCAAGGATGTGTGGGATGATTATAAATCACAACTTTTATCAAACCCTGAGAACGTTCTGTATCAAGCGGTCGTGTACCTAGCGCCCGGAGATTATCATCGGTTCCATTCTCCAGTCAACTGGAAAGTCAACTTCAGGAGGCATTTCCAAGGTAAACTTCTTTGAATAATGTTGATTAGTTTAGAACTTGCTCTTATATTTTTAAACTTCATTGCGATTGATGATTATTTTAATTTTAGATGCTAACTGATTTGACTACACATTACATTTTGGGAGATAAGGAAACTCCTCTTGTTTTTAAAAGACCATTTAGCCTATGTACATTTACCTAATCACTCTATCTAACCTAAACTTCCTAATATTTTTTATTCTTTTATTTTTTTTCCACATATAGATTGACAAATACCAATGAAATTAACTATATAATCAGTCTGTGCTTGGAGGTTAGCTAGTGTGGGAAAAGCCATAATACACTCATGGATGTGTTTGAACACTTAAGCACAAAGCTGTTCTCAATGTAAATGTTTTACCGCACTAACAAAATCTTTCTTAACCTCTCACATTTTCCTCAATTGTTCTTTAACTCTCCAAATATGCCTTCAATCAATCCAAATATTTTTCATGGTTTTGCTCCTAGCCTCCTTCCTACAGAATTTCTTTTCATCGCAATCATTTTGGATTCTATTCATTCTTTCTTCTTTAAAGTGCTTTGTCTATCCAATACATTTTCAACTTTTAAATTCATGAACTACATCTGGATCCTAATGAATAATCTTTTGAGTTGTCTTCTCCAACACCTTTCCCCATGAAGCCCGGGATAGATTTTCCTAAACGGTTAAATTTTCAAATATGATCAATTAATTTACTTTCTTCATTTTTATTTTTGTATGGTCGCCATTTTATTAAAAAGTATTAAAGTATTTTAACTTTGGAAATAATTTAACAAGGCTTTATAACATAAATTGACTTATTTTGTAAGTTAAAATTTTTGTTTGTGATAATAATCTTAAAGACAAAATTTATTGCACTCCTAAAAATACTTACTCGCAAGATTTAGCTGTTGCGTACCGGTATTTGAATTAAAAGAGAACTAAATGTTGCTACAATTATATCTAGTTATTTCCTTACTGAAGCCCCTGACTTATAACATTTGATGATTCCATCTTTGCCTTAACATCTAACAAAGATTTTTGCTGTATTACATAGTACTTTGTCAAATCATTTAAATGATAATGCTTAAAACTAGGTTAAGAGTACAAGGATTTTGGCATCTTTTACCCGTCACTTGTTTTAAAAATTGTTGAACAACTTCTTCTTCTTACTATTATTACTATTATGCAACATTACTTATGTATCACTTTATTTTGAATCACGTTTTTAATTAGGCCTATTTGAGATAATCGATCAATTTTTTCAGTGATGAAAGAATCCACAACCGTTCATTCATCCATGCTTCAAAACTAATTGACTTTTCTCAGTAATTTTTTACTCAAGTTACATTGAATGAGGAAGGTTTAAAGGTTATCAAAAACTGCTAATTTTGTGACTTTGCCTAGTGGTGCCACTGAGGCTGATTATCTCGTGTGGGAAAAGATAACCTTTTGGTTTAGGTTAATACTCTATGGACCCTTTCGATTGTTGGCTTAGAGAAATTTTTGAAGATGTCAATAACTTGGTTATTATTTATCCATTAGGGTAAGGTCGTGTTTGTTTTTGTTATGATGCACACATTGTAATCTTTTAGCCTAAATACATATTGTTATAGAAGTAATAACAATTTCAACTGTTTGAAGGACTACTTTGAAATCTGATTTTGTTATTATGGGACTGTCTTGCTGGGGTTTTGAAAAGAGAATCCGAGGAACACTTGACAAAAATATTGTCCTCAATGCTAATAAAATAAATGTTGGTAGACTTGTTTACAGCACAATAATATCCATTTTCTTTTTTTCCGTAGTGTAGCTTTCCTACACAAATTATCCATCCTCCCTTGATGAAGCGTAGCCTGTGGTAGACTGAAGATAACCTCAGATGAATTAAGATTCAAATAGTTTGATAACCTTACTTTTTCTCTATCTTAATTATTATATATTTTTTAAATATCCCATGAAAATTCTTATTTGTTGTCTACAAACGATTTTTTACTTACTTTTACATCTTTGTAAAAGTACGGCAAATGATTTGCCGTACTGATTAAAAAGTAGGCAGATTTTTAAATTCATAATTTGTGGGAACTTCAAAGATTGGCTAATTTAACTCTTTGTTCAATGGTTAAATTAAAACATATTTAAATTTATCTTAAACAAACTGTACTCGTGTAACCAATAATTATAAAAAATTAAGTGAGTTTAAACAAAAATTCATCAGAATTTCTGCGCTCCACCAGACCAGCTCGTACCCACGTAATTTTTACAAGCAGTACAATGATTTGATGTTGTTTCAGGAGAGTTGATGAGTGTAAATCCGCTAATCGCTGGCTGGCTGCCGGGGCTGTACAGTCTGAACGAGAGAGTCGTCTACGTTGGACAATGGAAACACGGCTTCTTCAGCATGACTGCGGTGGGAGCTACAAGCGTCGGCTCCGTCAAAGTCTACTCTGACAAGGTGAGTGTTAGAATCACCTTAAACAAAAAAGAAGCTTCATCAAAGAGGGACTTGGCCTACTTCAATATTTGTGCAGAAAAAATGTAAAGATAAACTAATAAAAGAACAGGTGTACTTCAATACTGATAGAACCCACTGAAATTTCCATTTCTGAAATATCCGGTACGAGTATTATTTTGAGGATGTAATTTTGATTCTCCAAATCGTCGGTTAGGCATGATGATGTCTGGTGTGACTCGTCAATAATAATGATTAGACTGGGACGGGTGGTGTCGTCCTGTAATCCAGCTACTAGGAGGTCACGAATTGTGGATATTTATAGGCATGCACTGTGGATGCGATACTCCCTGGTGTGAACGTCCGCACGGGTGAGTACTACGACTATCCACAGTACTATCCTGATAATTAGACCAACTCGTAATTACCAAGGCAAAAATGTGGTTCGGATTCGACTCTAAAACTGTAGGTCCCTTAGTTGCCATTAGCTGTATGGGCTATTAATTAACAGCTGTGTCTAAGGAATGTCGGCCTTAGTCACTAACAAGACTACAAGATCGCGCCACTCATCCTACACTCATCTCCATTCATACTTGGCTTAAAATACCTACTTTGTATGGTCGCCATTTCATAGAACAGTATTAACAGATCTCCCGTTACATATTTTATGTATATTTTCCTACCATTAAATGTCTATATTATCCGTATTACAGGGTATCTACGGGTCACAAAAATCATGGAAGTTGTGGAGAAGTCACTAATTTTACTAGAGAATCACAAAAATCACTGAAAAGTAACGGATTTTCATTTTAAGATCCCAAAAGACACAAAAAAGTCGGGCTTAACTGAAATATAGTTACCCAAACCTGTCTTTTGTTTTGCACTTGAATGATTAAATTCATATTACAGAATTAGAGAGCAAACATAATTTTGGAGCAGCAAATTGTTCCAAATCGTTTCAAATTGTTACGGCACAAAATATTGTATGCCCAACTATCTCATATTCAAGTCCCTAAAAAGTATTGTCTTATTGTCACCAAAGATGGTGCATTTTAACGACGCTCCCCTCCCCCCATAAAAAAAAACTGCAAACTGACTTATAAAAGGCACTGCAATTTAGTTTGATCAACCCTGTAGTAAGTTGAAGAGCAAAGACGTATTTATTAGGTCAGTATAAAGAAGGGTAATAGAACATAATTAATTCGTTTTAACAGACTGTTGCTAAATGAGACGATTCTCTAATCAAACCATAGTTAACCCAAAAAACTATATTTTTTTTATGTTCAACTCCGTTTAATTATTTCTTTTCAGACTCTTCAGACCAACACGTTCAGATGGAGGGATGGCAAACACAAAGACGTAGAGATGAACTGTTCATGGAGCAAGGGAGAACAGGTGGGAGAGTTCAGGATGGGATCTACTTTGGTGTTGGTGTTTGAAGCTCCAAGAGACTACAAGTTCAACTTGTGTCCCAACCAAACTGTGAGGGTTGGCGAACCTATGTCTGGCTGTAAAATATGAAGAGGTCTGAGAAAAGTAAGTAGAGTTTGTAAATGAGTTTTGGTTTGAATTGCGTTTTAAAATTAAAATACAAATATTAAAATATCAACAGCAGCTATCCCTTTGTTCTTCAGATTAAAATCCTGGCCTAGAGCCTTTCCTTGAACAAAACTATATAAATTTAAGTTTAAAACTATCTCAGTATGAAAATTACTGATTCGAGTAAATTGTCTCCAAGTGATATGTTTCGCCTAATTTTGTAGCTTTGTGGAAATATTATGAAATCACCTACCCTTCATTTGACGTTCCCATGTGCAGTACAGAGCTACCATAACATAAGCTATGTATTTCAAATTAGTATTTCACTGCACTATCCATCCTAAAACGCTCCTTATCCATAAACTTTTCTTACATTTATTTACTACAGTAGCCTACTATACAAAATTTGACCATACCATTCAAATGGCAGTTTCACAAACACTAGCCATCCTAAAAACACTAGGACCCGAGAAACGCAGATATTTTTTTGTACTTTTTTACTGCAATACTACTTTTTACCACGCCAAAATAAAAATACCAATTTGTGTAGTTTGCACAAACATTCTCATTGTTTTGTATGACAATAAAATTATGTTTCCAGTAATATTAATAGCACTCTTATCTTCCATAAAACGTGTACTGCACAGTGAACATGGAATAGAGTAAACAAAAGTATTATATTATGAAATGCAACAACCTCTAAAAGAGACATTTACTATATTTCTGTTTTATAATAACTTAGTTGAACCACAGTTTCAAATTGTCACTTAAACATTTACTTTGTTGTGTTAAGTTTGATGAGTTACAAACAGTCATATGACACGGATATGTTGTTTGTTTATAGGACTGGAATGTATTTTGAGACTAGACGGTGAGTGAGACTTCTTTATATTTATGACTCGTTGGTTTCGACTGGAGATCTCAATATTCGCCCCAAAGCTGTAGAACAGGTAGTTTACCAGTTTGAGTTTTCCCTTTCAAATATCAATGAGTGTGAAACCGAAAGTATTGTTTCAAGATGTAACATGAAAGCCTAAATCTTGCAAAATATCATACGTAGTAATCATATTATTCGCAAACACTGTTTTTATCAATAAAAAAAACATAATTATGGAAATTGAGTGTCAAAACATGTTAAAAGTCATTGTTTATAGAGAATTGTCAATGTTAAAATCATTCCATCATTACAGTTATAACCCTTTAGTGCCTTGTGAATAGTATATTAATTTGGATTTAAGTAATTAACTAATGAATAGTTTTGAAAGCAGTGTTATCTTTTAAGTTTGCTCAATATTGTGTAGGGTAATCTATCAGGGGATTGAGCTCATAATGATTTGGAAAATCTTTTCTGGTCATCTCCGGCTAACATAGTTTATAGTATAGTATATATTTAATAGAATCTAGAAACAGATGTTAGTTAAATGCTTTAGCTTGAGCCTAAAATCACAATCGTCTAAGTAATTTGTATTACATGTGATAAAATTCAGAACATATGCTTGCCGATTGAAGCAGAATGATTTATGTTTTTTTTTAAATATAAGTTTTCTTAAACAGAATACCTCGTTTTAACTGGACTTTGACGGACAAGTACTCTAGGTACAACAAATATGGATAATATACAATGGTTAGGCCTAATGGATAAATAAAGCAAAATAGGTCTACTGAAAGTTTCATTCAATTAATTAAACTAAGTGAGATGGAAAAAGTTGTTGACATACTAGAAGTTAACGCAAAACGTTTTCCACTTGCACATCCCTGTAGTTTTACGTTTCTTTGCGTAAACAAACAAAAACAATCAATATTAAGTGTATAAAAGTATTTACTCTGAATACTGCTAGTTTACTTTTGGTCCTATTGTAAAATCTTGAACGTGTTTTGATATACGTTTCCATCCGGTTTGAGCACTGATGTTGCGTAAAAAATGGTCGACGATTCAATCCTGAGAGAAGTCAGTAGCATTTTGATGGTCCGAAAATGGACCCAGCTGTCCTTGATTATTGCTATTTTAATAAATGGCAATAATGAAACAGCTGGTCTTAGTCAGTAACAAACACACAAGGCATCTCACATCATTCTAAACTCATCCTTCCTTCATATTTGGGTTAAAATACGCTTATGGATGGGATTCCCATCTCAGTTAGTAATAACCTAATATTTTGAATTTTAAAATATTACTTCATGGTGAATTTTATTTTACTTTTCGATCTTAATATCATAGTAAAATGGTTCACAAACACATTATTTGATGTTCAAACGGTTCTAAATTGGTTATAAAGTACACAAAGAGTAAACATCATAATGCACTGCATATTCTGAAAATAACTGACATTAAATTGCCTTCAGCTGATCTATAAGAATGATAAATCTGTTGTGGTGTTAAATCTATGATAACGGTTAGGTTTTGTAATATTCTCCCATTAAACCTCAGTCAGTCCTCCGTTTAAATATTAGGCTTTGAAGAAACTATACTTTGAATTTTACGTCTTGTTACATTATTATTATTGTCTGAATAAAACAAGGTATTCTGTAGAACGGCACTTAAAGGGTTAGTTTCTATCAGTGTGAATTCCAACAGTATTTCTGACTCGTGGTATACTAGACTAACAGTTCCTACTACGTTAGGTGGGTTAGTTAACCTCTGTGAGGCGATGAGTAACTTATTTTAAGATTTTATTAGAGACAAATCATAAAAATTGTGACAAAAATTCTTATCCGGTTTAAGAGTCTTAGTGGAAAAAACCCTAATTGGTTTCAACAATGTGGAATTTTTATACAGATATTTATAAATCAGTACCCTTGTATTAGTTTAAAATTAATTTAGTTATTGACGTATTTATAGGAATATTTTCCTATGTTTACACACTTTTATACAGATTGTAACTTATTGTGGTAAGACTGGTGCCATTTGAAAGAGAATGTGATATGATAAATAAAGTATATTGTACATTATAATTACTGTACTACTGTTATTTACCTTATTCTGCCTGGTATATTTGGTACAAAATTATAACATAACAAGTTTTTACCTTTAAAAAATTAGTTAAATCATAGAGTAGCCGACTTGAAATTTGTCCGTTTTGTACAAAGAACAGGTGTACCTTTTTTATGTAAGAAATATTCATCCCGATTAGAGTCATACCATTTGATTTGAGTGGTATTTTAGTTTATTTTTTGAAAATATAGTAAGATTTTCTTAACAAAACAAATTTATTAAAGTACTATATTACTTAACTTACATCACATGACTGACGATCCATTGCGACACAAAACTGAATTTATTATCAAGTTATGCACAAAAACAAAAGTTGTAATTTTTTCCCAGATTAAATTTGCATCTGCCATTAGTTTTATAAGGTGTTCTGTTTGGTTTTTCTTAAATCCATTAACAAAGGCCCTTTCTTTAATCAGTTTTTTTGTCGGGAGAATAAGTTTTTCTCGGACTAGTTTTCTAACAAGATATTCACCTTTGTTACTGATACTTTTAATTTCACTTTGTAACAATTTTAAAGTCTTAATGTAGCAATGAAAATATTTAACATATTGTGTGTATGCTTCTTCTTTATTGATTAATTTATTTAGAGTCCAGCTCAAGGAAATTAATTGTAATATAACTTTACACATATTTTTTGTTTTGGTTGTTGGAGTTTTTATGTAATTACCTCTTTTGGTTTAATGATTATTTTCATGACTATTTCGGTTATCCTTGCAATCATAAATACATGACTCATAAAATAAATCATATACCCTTACTGGTTTCTTGTGTTCATTATGAAGTTTTACACCATAATATTAATTATTTATATCCAGTATATTTTGTATTGTTCGAGTTGTAACTGTGGTCGGTAACCAATTAATCACATTTTTCAAGTGATGTAGCTACATTTCCAACTAAACTTCATGAATCATTTCCAACTATTATAACAAATCTCAGATTCTAAAGCAATTACAAATTAATTTTTAGAACGCATCAAACTAATGGGCAATCAAAATATCTCGTTTATATAAAAAAAATTTAATTCATTATGTTGTCTTTGTTGGAAGGTTTCCCATGTTATTCTGTGTTGCAGCATTGGTTGCACCCAATATTAATCACTTACTGTTACATGTAGAAAAGTTCCACTCACAACAACTCCACTGTCCTATTATGCTGAAGTCTCGTCCGTTTCCCCGTTCGGTTAGCCTTTATCTCAATCTGTTGTCTGTTGTTGTAGTAATATTTGTAAACCTTGTACTCCAACGAGACCTTACGACATATATTGTCCAACTGTTTACGGCTTGCAATAGTTTTGTTGACGAGTTCGTAGTAGTCTTGGAGTTCTTCAGGCGTCCATCTAAATCTCTTGGTGAGTTCTGCACCCGAGATTTTGTACTTGACAAAATGTGGTGTGCCGCTACTGATCACTGCTTGGCCGAGACGCAGAATTCCGCTGTGTGACCTCGGGTTTGCGATGCGTTCCGCAAGCTCCAAAAGCGCACTTATCATCTGGTTGATGGTGGTCAAGTATGTTCTCGGCCCGGCATGGGAGTCCCTCACTAACTGATTGAGTCTAATGTCCAACCGTTTGATAAGTCGTGCTAAATTTGTCATCAGTCCCGACTGAACAATGAAGAGGAGTATGACGATGGGTAGTTTCATTTATTTGAAGCTTGGAAAGGAACTTGCTAGTCTCTACATTGAAAATTGGTGATAGTTGACCTAATTTTTCAACCTAGTGATGTAATATGTTTACATCTAATCATGATATGAATGTTTGACATTTTGTTCTAAAACAACATTGAATGGTGATGTAAAATGTGTAGGAGTTTACAATTTTGAAATATTAAAACCTTAATGAGGTGTTCACTGTTTTCATGTTGATAAAAGTTAGCAATGCTCTTTTGTGAAAATTAAATACCATTTTTAAAGATGTACATGTTAAAAACTAACCAGCCTGTCATATAATTAGTCTTATTATAAATTAATTCTTGTTTCAAATTAACTGTCATTGTTATTTTTTTTAATAGAAGCAGTTTTTGTTTTTAAGTTTAAACACATTATACTTCCCTAATTGTGAGAAGAATAGTAATTTCTTTGATCTTGCATTGGATTCTTTGCATTTCTAAATTGTCTCTTCTTTTCCCATGTTAGTATCTCCTAAGTACTTAGGAATTTCTGAGCAAATTTTCTCGTAGGCTATTTGCTCCCATGGGATGAATTCAAAGGTTATTTATCCTTTTATTAATGAATCAAAATACCTCTGATAGGTTAAACTTATTCTTAATCTAAACCAACCTTTTAATAAAATAACATACAGTAAATCTAGACTTGAATGTGCTTTCTGTGAACATGTTCTCATTTATTGACGAAGCTTGGACCAAATTCTCTCTTCCTACCCAGGAAGCTTGTTTGTCATTTATCTTCATTTCACCAGTGTTATCTTTGTTTGAAGGTTCTATTACCTCTGTGAAATAACAGCTAGACTTGAAACTTTGAAGAGTGATAATAAATAGTTAAGTATAGAGACTATCAATGTTTGCACCAGTATGCGTGAACAAGACTAAGTTTTCATTTTTATACGGTATCAAAAGTCAAATATTTTGTAAAAACTGTGTAAATATATTTTCTCATCTGTAATCTATTTTATAGTAGTGGGTGTCTAGATAAATGGTAAACACAAATATACACAAAAATAAACAATATGTTTCAAATTCTTTACACTCTACGTATAAACACGTCAAAACGTCTTGAATTCCTTATAATGAAGATGGATTTGGATTGGTTCCAATCATCTTCAAGAAGAGAATTCACCATCTTGTAGCATATGTGTAAAAACAATCTTGCTTTATTACACACTTTATACAGTTGAACCTCGTTTGTACGAACCTCGATAAAACGAATTCCTCTATAAGACGAATTTTTTTTAATCCCCTTGACACTTTCATATAGGTCAATGCTAAAAACACCTCTATACAACGTAGTAATTAAGTTAAAAACCTCCATAAGACGAATTTGTTTGTGACATGGGCTAGGACTGATTTACCTCTATACAACGAATATTCTTAGCACAAAACCTCTACAAGACGAACGTGACCTCTATAAGACGAATTTATCATAATGTTAACCTCCATAGTACGAAGTTTTCAAAACAAACAGAAGCTTGTCTCAACATGAAACCCCCACCCATCCCTCCTCCTTCCTCAGTCATTGTTTGGAGAAACCTTGGAGCGAGGAGAAACCTCTATAAGAAGAATAACTGCAGCATTAAACCTCGATAAAACGACCCTCTTTATTAAGAATACCTCTATAGTACGAATTTTTCCCGTACCCCTTGAAATTCGTCTTATAGAGGTTAAACTGTAGCATTATTATTCCTATGCTTTACAATGCCTTCGGACATGCATTCTTCTGCCTAAGTTGCAAAAGTCCGTCTATAGGCTCAACATCAAGTAAGATCACTTTCGGTGGACATGGTCAGCTCAAAGATGACGGAGAGTGAAGATACGAGTATGTGGACTTCTTTGTCATGGTTTGTCCAAAGTATTCTTTGTATTTTACCAATAATTCAACATGGTCTGGGTTTTGGTCTAGTTGAACATAAACTGAGAGCTAGATACGGTGCAAGCCGTTGTGCAAGGCTAGTTGGAAAAAAATTCCATGTCTCTGTTCAACAAAGTGAAGGAGGTATTTTAATGGTTAGTCTGTTAAATAGAAGGCAAAATAAATCACTATTTTCTTATGCAATTGTTTGCAAAATACTTTTAGATAGTCGAATTCTCTGTGGTTACAATAATGCATACTGTACGAATAAAGAAATGATTTAATTTTATACAAACCCTGTTTCTTCTCCCCACAGTCAAGTTCATTTTCAGTCCGGAATCATTAACTTTTCTCTCACAACTTCAGCCAATTCCATTCGCAATTTTCTCGTGTTGTCGTAAAGTTCCCAAAACTGTCCGATTTGAGCAGTGTTGAACTTGTATTTCCTCTGTAATTCTTTATCTTCCACTTTCAACTTGAGGTATTCAGGCCTGTTCCTACTGATGAGTGCTTGTGCCAACGATGCAGGCCTCTTCTTAAACTGAATCAACGGCTTTTTTACCAACTTGATCAAATCTTTGATTACGTTGTTCAAAGCCTCCATTTCTAGCAGCATCATTTTCGGATCTCTCTTGTCTTCGGTCTTCAAGAAAGTGCAAACGCTTGAATCAAGTTGGCGGAAGAGGTTGCCTATCGTGAACTTTCCGAAGCCAAGTTGATGTGAATGACATTGGTTGAAAAAAATTGTACAACACAAAACTGTGAACTTTAGCATGGTTGTAAGAGAGTGTAAAGATTGACAAGAGTAATATCAATCGTTGTTTTGATTCTTTCATAAAATCTCTCTATTGAATGTCAATATTGTTGATAAGAAAGATTATAATCAGTATCTGGATCTCCCGGAATTGTTTAAGGTTACTATTTTGCCCATGTTACAAAATCCTCCTACATTTTCCTTTAAGCAAAAATGACACAATTTATCCAACCAATGAAGTTTTAGGTGTGATAATTGCTAATTGAAAGCTACCGGCAAAATACAGTCAAGAAGTTAAATATTTTCTATCTACAATAGTGAAGATTGTCTTGTCTGTTGTATTTTTATAAATCTAGGTTTTAGTAAATTCAAAAAACATTACCAGGCTTAAAATATTTATATGGTTGTAAACTACTCAGTACAATTTCTATGGGTTAAAATCAATTTAATTTTGGCTCAATTTTGACAAGCCATCTATTAGAAGAAAGGTTTCTTCTTTCCCAAATTATATTGGATAAACCCCAATCTGTAGGATTTGAATAAACTTTAGTAAACATTGGAAACCCTCAAAATGTCTGTTACTTTAAATAAACCATAAAAATAATGTTGTCTTGGAGGTAATTAATGATAACAGTACATAAAATAATTATACTTTTAATATCTTAATT